AAGACAGGGGCCCACCTATCAGAAGGCTGTGTCCACATCTTGTAAAAGTACTTACAGTGTGAATTGGACTCAAAACTTGCTTCAAGATCCTTATTAGTCTATATGAAGCTGGAAGCCATTTTATTCTCTTCTCAATATTCATAAATTAGTATTATTCCTTCATTAGCACATATTAATTGTACAAATGAGTTTCATTGTGACATTTCCAGGCATGCACATAATGTACTTTGATCAAATTCACCCCATTACTCTATTTTATGGCTTCCTTCCCCTCTATATTCATAAATTAAAAATAAATTTCTCAGTATATCCTATTATTATTTTTAAATGAGTTTTGGGAACCAAAATACATTTTTATAATTAAAATTTAAATGACCTTACTACTTATTAGATGAGTTGAAGCAGCTGAGAAAAGTGTTCAAAAGTCTTTTAACTTTCTAGTGGTATACACACACATTCTTGAATTATAAAGTACTAAAAATTGGCATACATATGAATTATGTTTTCTTATGCAACTGTATTGGTATTACCTAAATATATTTAGGTTTAATGTGTTTTTATATCAAAATATGTTCCATTAATATGCAATTGAACTGACATTCATCAAGAGTCTGCTTGTGTTCTCTCATCCTGCTTGTGTGTTAATATTCATGATAAAAATAATTAAAATAAACAGAATAATTTTAATGAATATTTAAATTTTAAATAAGAAGCTCACAATACCTTCTTGCAAAGCTCAGGGCGAACTGGTTTGTGTTATTTTTGTCTACTGTTAAAAATATCTCATGCATTACTTTGAAAATTATGTAGCTGCTTAGAAATGACTGTTCAAGTCTGCAGCATGGATTGAAAGCAGCAGCTGCCTGGGATGAGGTGAGAGGAACAGGTTCCATTCCTCACTGCTAGATGATATGCCTGGCAACCATCAGTGTTTTGTAATGTGGGAGCCAAATACCATGTCAGTGGAGCAAACAAGAGACAGATGATAACCTGGGAAGTGAGCTGTCACCACCTGCTGATTGATTTTCCTCTTTGGGATAAAAATTTCCTGTGTTATTTAACCCTTCTAAACCTTCAGTCTTTCTCTGTTTCAAAGACAGTTTTTATCCAAACCCAGATCATCTCAGAAAAATCTTATGACCTACATCTATGCTTTTCTGACCCCTAGCAATGAAATTTCTTGACTGTTTCAAAATAAATTTAATTAAATCAGGCTCTTAGGAATCCAAGAATTTGGTTTTTTTCCTCCACATTACCCAATTAATTCTATTGGTTTTGACATCGTAAAGTCTGACTTTTATTATCTGTGATTAATATAGGATATTTAAAAAGAAGGCTGGATCTTCTATCATTAACTTCTGTGGATTTCAAACTATAATAGAGATATAGGGAAAATTATGTCTCAATGCTCAGTCTATCATGAAATACAGTATCTACTCAGATACAGCTTGTTGTGTGGGCTTGAAAGTGGAACACAATTGTTCATCTTAACTAATGATTATTACGTGTTATACAATGAGAATATCTTAAGTACCATAACTTTAACAGGATCTCAAACTTTCCCAAAGAAAAATTACAAAAGCGTGAACTGAGCCTTCTACAAACAATAGCAAAGAGCTCGTGCAATGTAGTGATCTGCCATGGCTTGCTTCACTTTGTGACAAGAACAATTAAGGAGGAAATATCACCACTAAACATTCCAAGTGTTTTTAAAATACGCTTCATAAAACAGAAAAGATTTAGTATTCCTTTCTCACAGTGTCAGAGGCTGAAAAAAATAAGAAACAAGAAGATAATAGTACTCTATCAGAATTTCTGAAGATTTTAATGCCCCTGCTACTTTTGACTTTGAAAGGAATTTCTAACATTTCTTCTTTATACACAATATAACACATATGTTCACCTCATTCAAAAATCATAGAATATAAAAATTATACCTTAAAACTCTCCGTTTCATCTGCTCAAGGCTCACCATTCTCCCTTCCCCCAAACACCACACCCTGAACCTTAAAGGTACATAGACTTCTTTGTTGCCTTGCAATTTCTTAATGTAAATGCAATCAAATGTAAAACATAGTTTCTTTTCCCCAGTTTTGTATTTACCATGCATCTTTCTGTATTGAGTGCAGACTGTGTGCTCTTTCTTTCATAAATGGAATAGTATTCCATTGAATGAACAGATAAAATTTACGTAAGAGGCATCCTGGTAGCCTCCTGTCGTTCTAGTGCTGTACGTTGAACTAATTCTCCAGAATGGTACTGAGTCAAGAGGCATGTGCTTCTGCCTGATAATAAATATTGCTAAATCATCCATCACAGTGGTTGTACCAATTCATGCTCTTTCCAGCAACTTATGACTTCCACTTCCTCACTGCTCAGTGGGTTTTCAAACATTTGGAGTTTTCAGCATCAAGAAAACAACAGCAACAACAAATAATGGTGAAGGTGCACAGAAAAGGAGCCCTTATGTTCTGCTGGTGGGAATGTAAGTTAGTGCAGCCACTATGGAAATCAGCATGGAGTGCCTCAAGAAACTAAAAATAGAACTAGCATAGGATCTATCTATAACAGTCCTGGGTATATACCTGATGGAATCAAAGTCAGCATACAGTAGAGGCATACGCCTCCATGTTTATTGCAGCACTATTCACAATAGCCATGCTGTGGAATCAGCTTAGGTATCAATGGATGAATGCATAAAGAAAATGAGCTATGTACACACAGTGGAGTTTTATTCCGCCATAAAAAATTATGTCATTTTCAGGAAAATAGGTGGAACTGCAGATCATGTTCAGTGAAATAAACTAGACTCAAAAAGCAAGTGTCACGTTTTCTCTCATATGCAGAATCTAGATTAAAAAAAAAAAAAGACATAAAGGTAGAAGGAGGAGGAGGAATGGTTCCAGCAAGAGGGGAGGCATGAGAAGGGATGATGGGGATGAATATGATCAAAGTACACTCCATATGTGTACGAAAAGGTCATAACGAAGCCATTATTGTGTGTGAGTATATGTGCAATTCTTCAATTAGAATTGGAAAACAACTATTTTCCTATTCTCTTCCATGAAAAATGGTCTATCAGTATACTTTTAATTTACATTTATGAAGTTAATTTTTCATGTTTAATAGTAATTTGGCTTCTTTTGACTAGGCCTGCCTAGTCATATCATGTTTTTCCCACCCCCCCATGGCATTTCCAAAATCAATTTATAAAAATTCTTGGTCAGACATGGTGGTACGTATCTATAATCCCAGCTACTCAGGAGGCAAGATCAAGATCAAGACAATGGGAGTTCCAAGCCAGTCTGAGCAAAAAGTTAGCAAGGACACATCTCAACCAGCAAGCCAGGCATGGTGGTATGCACCTTGTGAAGTGTTACACAGGAGGCACAGGAAGGAGGATCATGGCCCAGACTGGCTCCAGATAAAATGAAAGACCCTATCTGAAAAATAACTAAAGTCAAAAAAGACTGGGGTTATGGCTCAAGTGATAGAGTACCTGCCTAGCAAGCATGAATTCAAACCTCAATGCTAAAGAAGAAAATCTTACACAAAGTGGTTCACCCTTTGCCTAAAATATAAGCTGATGTTTTCCCCTAGTTGGATATTATCTTTAGATGTTGCTTAATTAGTTTCTCCATAGAGAAAGTTCTCTGCTCTGCGGTGTAACTCAAGCCTTCTTTTTAACTCTAGATTTTGAATCTAGACAAGTGCTTCTAAACTTCAAAGTCATGACAGGAGGTACTGTATTTCCTTTTAGAACTTACATGAGATTTTTTCATTCTGCAGGTAAAGCTTTGATGCCTATAGATTTGTCCTAGTTTAGGATGTGAGGCATGTGTACTACACTCTTGTTTCCATTTATAATTTTGGGTTATCTTCCACTTATCTAAATCCTATTTTCTAAATTATTTCCATGCAATCTCTCATTCCACAAAGATTTGCTTTTAAAAACTGTCATGGCTCTTAGGATTTTACCACAGCACTGTTTCTATGAGGACAGACATTTGGAAAAGCCTCCAGGAATTGTAACTGCATTGAGGGCAGAGGTGTGACTGGCATCCAGCTATTGGGGGGATATCATGGGTTTTGCTAAAACATCACAGTGTGATATAGCCTCCACAACACAGAATCATCCTGTCCAAAATGTGAGTAGTGCCAAGGTTAAGAAACACTACCTCATGGGAAAATCTTCAAAGCATTTGGAATCACAGGCACTATGTGTTAGCCACTATTATGACCAAGCTCTGTGCTAAAAGTTCTAACTTTTTCACTTAACTTACACAACTCATATTGAAGAAGGATCATTATGACAGTTCCATAAGTGAAGAAATTATGGCTCAGGAGTGGTTAAGCCTAGCTGTTAACCTCCCAAGATCACAGTTAATGACAGGGCTGGCACTCAAACCCTGGTTGATGTGAAGCAAAAGTTCTGTATTTTATAATTTATTAAGTTTTTTGGTAGTACTGTAGTTTGAACTCAGGGTTTCACAATTGCTAGGCAGGCATTCTCCATCAGCCTCCCCGCCTTTTTTGTGGAACTGTGGTTTAAACTCAGGTCTTTGTGCTTGCAAAGCAAGAGCTGTACTAGTTGAGCCATGCCTCCAGTCCAAATGATAACCTGAGTCCTAGATACTACATGCAAGTTGGAAACTCCTGTTAAAGAAGTCTGCTGCATGTTCCTCTCTAAATTCCCATATTATGTTGTCTTCCTTTTAGAATTAAAATGAACTTCCTTGTAAAAATCATACACACTGACATTCATTACAACTTCTCTATAACCTTGAAATGGTAGCCATATTCTCAGGACAACAGACACAAAAGAAGCATGGAACATGTTGTGACGGAGAATTTTTGTACTTCTGGAGGGAGGAATACAGATGATGGAGTACAGGTGAAGCTGGAAGTTAGGGACATTTATAACACGTGGGAAGAATCATTTGCAAGATTGACTAAAATCTTTCAGAAATCATCAAAGAAGGAATTCCAGAAAATACAAGCACACTCTAATAGTTAATTTTATTTGTTCAAGAGCTCATATTGCAAGCATTCAATCAAGTCTGGGCTTTGATTCTGTGAGCCCAGATCACATATTAGGGAGGAAGCAACTGTGACCCCTGAACATGGACGAAAACTAAAGGCTCAGTTTTAATCACATTAGAATTTTTCGATTTCTACAGCCTAGAACTCAATGGTCACAGGTCTTTTAGGTCCTTCTGGATGTCCCACAGGGTATCTGCACTTTTCTTGAGCTGAGCAACCTCTTCATCCTTCAGCTTCTGGTTGATAACGCTGGTTAGTCCCCGGGCATTGAGGATACAAGGAAGACTCAGGAAAACTTCGTTCTCAATGCCATACATGCCCTGAAAGCACACCACAGGCACTGAAGTTAAGATGTAAAGCCCCAAGTAAGAGCAATCAGAGCAACTATGCTTGAACAGAAAGGATCAGAGGAAAGGTAATAAGCAAAATTCTCTAATTTTCATTTCTTACTGGTCCCATGTCCCCTGTACTTATGTTTTGAGATAGGTTTTATGCATGGAATATGGGAACTTACTCTATGATAAAAGTAGCTAGTTATAAGAAAGTAATACACACTTTTATTGAACTTCACTGAATAGGTTTTTATTGAACATTGCTCTCCACTTAAATATACTTTAGTCAAACTTGATATATGAATTTTCAAATTAAATTGCTTTCAATTGTGGTTCTTAATGGATAACTTCCCATGAAACTAAGTTTCTTAAATATTTTTAATTAAGGAGAGAACTTAACAGGTGATAATAGGTAGTAGGCAGTCTAGGAGGTGCTAAAGCCAGAGTAGCTAAAAAAAAAGTACAATTTCTAAAACACTACCTGTTTGTGTAAGGTAATTTATTCACAGGGTCAAGTTAACTACATAACTAATCATACTATTTAATTATATCTAACAAGTTACTTTAATTTTTAAAAACTTGGTTTCAGAAAAAAAATTTCTATAAAAAGCAGAATAAACACATTTCTGTGCATGCACCCTAACACAGCAATTACTCAATTATTTCCATACTTCCTTTTGCCCCATTACTCTTTCACAATTTATACTGACCTGTGGAAAATGAATCAGCTGTCTTACATTGTTACACAATTTTGCTTTGTTTAATTAATTTCTGCTTAACTACTTCTTATGTTTGTCCCTTAGTTTTTGAATTACACTAAATTTGCTAAGGTGTTAAGTGCTACATTTAGTTCCGACACCAACTTCACATGAACCTGCTGTGCCTACTGAAATGATCATGTACTTTAAAAATGTGCTGAATAGGATTCAGAGTGAATATTTAATTTCCCATAGCCTACAAGAAAGAATTATAAAAAATAATTGGATGTTTTAGCTTCTGTGAGTTTTGGGCTGTCATCCTAGACTTCTGTTAGAAAAGGAAAAACATTTACACAAAATGTTGAGATATGCAGAAATAATGGTTCATTGTAATTATCTTATTCTGCACATGAGTGTATGTCACATGAGCAACAAATCACATCAAATTCTGTACTAATTACTGTTACCTTCACCATTGTTGACACTGGGTGAATCCTGGAGAGATTTTTTAGCATGGACTCAATGAGATCAGCCACACTTAACCCAATCGCCCAGTTGGTGTACCCTTTCAGCTTGATGACTTCATAGGCACTAAGGAAAAACATAAATCATAAAGGATCATTCAAGACAGAATTCCTGGGCTTGACTCCTGCTCTGTCTCTTAATGTTGGGCAAATTACCTGCTCCTGTATTTTTCTTTAAAATAAAGACAACAATATTACATAATTCATAACTGTCCTATGAGTGTTAAATGAATTAATACACATATAAAATGCATAAAACTGGAAGTAATAAATGCTAGGCAAAATATCATTTAAATTGTTTATTTTATAAGTGAATATTAGCCAGGCGTCGATGCTCACACCTATAATCCTAGCTACTCAGGAAGCAGAAATCAGGAGGATGTGGTTTGAGGCCAGCCTGGACAGGCTTCAACAGACCCTATCTCAATACTGAACACAAAAATGGGCCAGCCAAATGGATCAAGTGATAGATTGCCTGCCTAGCAAATATGAGGCCCTGAGTTCAAACTCCAATACCATCAAAAAAATTTTTAAATGAATATTTGCAGTCATAATGGTAAAAATGTACATTTTCAACCAATGTAACTGACTCATACATGTGACCATTTCCAACCATGTTAAGGAAATCAGGAAGCAACAAAAGTAAAGAAGAAAATACGCCTTGGTTGTGAGATCTCACATGCCATGTCATTTAAAATACTATGGTCAGCTAACTTAAGAAAAAAATGATGACAGCATCTTACCTGGCAATTTTCTGAGCATGAATTATATACCTCAAAGCCTACAGAGTGGTACAGGTACGTGGGAAGCAGAGTAACACTCACCAAGTGTCAGGAAGTTAGGGTTTAATGCCATCTGACATTGACTAACAGACCTTGGGCAAGTTTACCTGATTGAGCCCTACTTTCCTCATTTGTAAAAGAGAGATCATGGTCATTGAAATTCTAAAAATTTTTTTCAACTTTTAAGATTCTTTTTCTCCATATACACATCAAATTCCTCAAAAAAAAAAAAAATAGAATTGAACTGAACAAAACTGCACCATTTTTGAGAAATCAGTTAAGTCTTACTGAAAAATTCTCTGTAAATACTTATTGAACGTGTATCAGTTAAGTGTGTGTCCATGAATGTGTGTTTCACTAATTTAATAATTAGTCCATGAGCACACGACTTTTCAGAGGAGAAAACAGATTCATCTTTAAGTGGGTCCATGAAGGCTACAGCTATGGTCAGAGCCAGGATTTGAATCCAAAGCCACACTGTTTTATTTCAAAATGACACCTTATTAAGTGAGCATGATGCTCATAAAATAGGATGGCTGATAACAAAGAAATAGCTTCATGAAAAAGAGTGAGGGGATAGCAAAAGATACTTACAAAACAGCTCAAATACGTTTAGCAATCTCTCCACACAGACTTATTTTTATTTATTGATTGATTGATTGATTGATTGATTGCCGGCACTGGGGTGTGAACACAGGGCTTCATGCTTGCTGGACAGGTGCTCTTACCACTTGAGACACTCCACCGCAAATGAGGACATTTTTACAGGAAGTATGAAACTAACAATGTTGAGATTTACCTTCCTGGATGAAATCAACCTTCTTTGCTGACAAGAGGCAGCATGGAGGTCCTTCCTCTCATTTGATAGATAATTACACGTGTATCTCTACAAAAGACTTTTCTCTAGAGAGAAATATTTGCTTTCCCAAGGGGACCAGCACAATCCTGATCAGTCTCAATGAATCCTGCCTGCTTTCCCCAGATAGCAGCAGCATCTTTACTGCAGTAAGAGTTTCTCTGAGCAGGCAGCCATGGAAATGGTTTGTAAGTTTATCTAAGCAAACATGAAATTCATCATCTTAATTCCAGCTCCCCACCACCTACCTCTCAACAACCATCTTATGCACCTCCTTCCAGTTCTCACTGTCATTGTCTGTTCCCATTTCTGGATTCAGTTCCTGAAGAGAAACACCTGCCACATTCACTCCACTCCACACAGCCACTGTGGGGGAAAAGCAAACATTCCAGATGTTACTATTTTTTAAAAAATCTTTCCTTCGTTCAGCTTTCATCTCTGATGCAAATTACTGAATGCCAGCTGGAACTGCTCCAATGTCAAGTGACACCAGTTTAGTGCCTTGCCCCGAGGGGACATTTGGTCTGACATTTGCCTTCAAATAGCAACACATCTAATATTTAACTTCTAACAAATCTGCTACAAATACGAAATTCTTTGCATTTGTGAAATTGTTAAGAAATTCTAATCTGGGGCCATCTTCAACTTTTTTCTTTTGGTGGTACTGGGATTTGAACTCAGGGCCTTATAATTATTAGGTGGACACTCTACCACTCATGCCACAACCCAGCCCTTTTTGCTTTACTTATTCTTCAGACAGGGTCATTTATGCCTGGGACAGTCTGGACCCTGATCCTCTTATTTATGCTTTCTGCATAGCTGTGATGACAGACCCACGCCACCACATCTAGATTTTTATTGGCTGAGATGGGGTCTTAGAGACCTGAACTGATAAGATCTCTTGACCTCAGGAGTAGCTAGGATTACAGGTGTGAACCACCACACCCAGCTTTCATCTTAAACATCTGATTTCAGGAATTTCAAATTCTCCTCTTGCTTTTTTTATCCTAATTAAACAAACCCTCTAGGCTAAGACTCCCAAACAGTGTAATTATACCAAAATACAGTATAATTTTGAAAGTGCAATAATATACAAATATGGGTATATTTAATTTAGGAGAGAGAGTGTCAGAAAGGTCTACAGAAACAGGCAGACTACCTAGACCTAGATTATGTGCTCCTTGGGGACTGGTGGAGGAGAACACGACAGACTCATGAAGTCTGAGCAAAGGCACTGGGAAATCTACTGTCATTTATCAGCTATAAAGGCAAAGCCACCGTGGCCAGGTTAAAACCCTCTTTGGTCCACACTTTCTGCTAAGTCAGACAAAATAGGGTATTCCTATAATCTTTCATGAAAACTATGTACTCATACCTAAGAGAGAATAATTTAATTCTCTTTCATTTCATGTAGCTAATACAGATTAATATGGAAATAAGCAAAATATGTTTTGAGGAAAATGACACAGTAGTAAAAGAACAAAATATTGGACCATAGTCAGATACCTTCTGATAGGATGCTGTGAGGTGACCCCAGCATCACTACTGTGCTATTTATGCAAAAGTACATAAGTTTAACCTAAGCATGAGTTAACAATCGACAAACCTACACTGGTGGACATTCTACAAAATGCCTCCCTGATCTTCAAGTGTCAAAACAAAGATGGAGGAACAAACAAAGATGACAAAACAAGGATGGAGGAAGCTATTCCAGACTGAGCTGTGAAAGGAGACAGAAATGGATGCAGCATGTAGTGTTGTGATGGGTCCTGAGTTGGGAATAAGACTTAGGACATCATTGAGATAGGTAGAAATATCTGATATGAACTTGGGATTAAACAATATGGAATCAATATTACATTTCCTGATTTTGATAAGTATACTGTGGTTATGAAAAAGAAAACCCTTGTTTTTAAGAAATATACCCAAGGAACATATGGAGAACAGAGCAGATGACTGTGATTTATACTTACTGAATCGTGTTAGTATATATAGGTAACATATAAAAAAGAGAAAATAGTAAATAATAAAGAAAATTGGAAAAGAATGGGAAACTTTACCATTTTTGAAACTTTTCTGAAGTGCATCAAAGTACATAAAAATAAAATTTGAAGTCAAGCAAAAAACTTAGAATGGCAAGCCAACACCACAATCACACAGTAACTATTTTCTATGTTTTACCACTGGAGTCTCCGTGTTCTCCCAGGATCCACCCATGGCAGCTGCTGGGATGGATGCCAAGTTTTTCAGCCATAAGGTAGCGAAATCTAGCAGAATCCAGATTACACCCGCTTCCAATCACACGGTGCTTGGGCAATCCACTTAGCTTCCAGGTAACATATGTAAGGATGTCCACTAAATAGGGTGGAAAAAACACAGGTTAGAAGACCAAAACTGACTTCAGCTGCTCCGCGAGTCAGTCCTCCTTCCACACATCTCCATTCTCCAAAAGGAATGTCACCAGAAAGATATAAATATATAATTTTTTCATAGCAATGGGTGAAAGAGAAACTTTGAAGCCTTAGTAAGTAAAGATTATAAAGTGGGAAATAAGCAATGAATTTTGCATTCATACTGAATTCATTACCTGACACAAGAATACATAGGAACCTCAAAGATTAACTGAAAATTGAAAGAAAGAAGAAAAACGGTTGAAGGAGACCCTCCCAGGTTTCCACCAATCCTAACAATCCCATGATTGTGACAACTGTCATCACAAACCAAAAAAGTCATTTGCTATAAATTAACAAGGCATGCTGCTATACATTTTCTTAGACATGAGATATTGTTCAGTAAATTATTGTGAAAATACATGATATTAAGTTTTCTACTATTTAATGACAGAGCACCTATGACATAACCCTTGTTTCAGTGTGGCACAGTCTCACAATTGCAGAAATTTTTTTTATCATAGCTCTTACAGATGAGCTGTAAAGAGCAGGCAAGAGTCTGGAAAGAACTCTGACTTCACCTATAGACTGTGGCCAAGATATCTTTAAGGACATTTTGAACTGGATAATTCGTCTTTCCTGACAACTTCGATTTGCTGGAAGCAGATCCCTGGAGAATTAATTAAGACTGTGAAGCTATACTTAGAAAGTTACATCATCAGTTGGTGACATCTGCCTGAGGCACAGGACGTGGGAACTTATTAAGGCACTCTAACTGCCACATATGTATTTTTAAATAAGACTAAAGTATTTAGTAAGCCCCAAAGTAGATCTGTAGAGAGTAAGAATTACTGAGCTAGTCTCTGCCCATGCTGACCTGGCCTGTCAGTGAACTGTAACGACTCCCCTGCCATTGATTCACTGTATTTGTCTAGATGAAGTATCAGAGATGACAGTTTTATCATTCATCCATGAATCTTCTATGTTCACAAACACGGAGTAAGTCTGATGGCAAACTACTGACAAAAGAAATGTGAAACTGAGTGAATTTTAGCCGTTTAGGCTACCTACCAAAAGACAAAATTATAATTTAGTTGAAAAATCCTAACTGGCTTTACTTTCCATTCTAAAGCTAAGCAACACTTTTTTTCCGTAAAACAGAGTAAGTGTCCTATTGGGTTAAGCAGAAAAGTTTGACTTTATAAACAGAGAAAAACTGAGGAAAAAGAAACAAAAGAATAAAAAAAAAGACTGGCCTTTCAAAGTTGCTTTCCTTGTAAGGTGGAAACAGAACAATAGAAAAAATAATTTATTGTTTGATGCCAGATTGCTTCAGATTACTCTTGCATAAAGATTAAAAGAACATGCCAACTAAAACTGACTTGATAGGGAAAAGTGGTTGGTATCTCTGTAGTCCTGATTTATCATATCAGACAAACTGGGTGATGTGGAGTTTTGGCATGAGTGACTTCATTTTGATTTTCAGCCTGGTCTACTGGGACCTTGTGGAGGAGTCTAGTCCCAAACGATGGCCTCTTGTGGTTTCTATTTAAATGGCTTAAAAAAGATAACATTGTTTCCAGTCAGACATTTTAATGTTTATTCTGCAGATGTATTTTAGTAAGGAAAAGTGCTTTGAAGTCATACCTCTTGGTATTAGCATGTATCTGCCAGCAATACAGTTTTCTACTTTTAGTCTGATTTGATTCTAAAGAAATTTAGAGATAAGGGCACTAGAATGGGTTTTCTCCTATCCGGAAGGTCAAACATGTTAAAATGTTTCTTAGAAACTGAAGCCAATTCAGAAGTATGATTCCCTTCATATTGTTCACTCCCAAAATAATCTCTACAACAAGCCCAGATGAAACTGCATTATATAAGCTCTTCTTATATTTTTAAACATTTGGTATGGACACTACCCTCCATCTGTTTTGCAAACACCACGCTTTTGCTCCAGTAACAGAAGACACGTGAACTGCTCCTGTTAGTGAACACCAGGGCTGCTTTCAAGCCCAAAACAGCAAGCATTCCCCAACCATGGAGCTACAGAGAACTGAGCCCTTGAGTATGGCCCATGCACCTGGGTTGGACACCACGATGATGATACAGTCGGGGCTGTACTTGACGATCTGAGGAATGATGAACTTGAAGACGTTCACATTTCTCTGCACCAGGTTGAGACGACTCTCCCCCTCCTGCTGACGCACGCCTGCCGTTACCACCACGATCTTAGAGTTGGAGGTCACGGAGTAGTCTTGGACAAGAGAGGGAGAAACGGTACTTTAAATACACCTGTGCATCAAAACACACCCGATATGGCATGTCCTGCCTGGACCTAACTGCACAGAGCTTCTGGAACTTATATGAGAATGAAGTTTTCTGTACTGAAAGGTTTTGAAATATGCCTGCAACCACTTGTATTTTACAGATAACTGACACAATCCGACTATACAGCTGGCTCAGAAAATGAACCAAAAAGATAACAAAGACCCTAAAATTGTTTCCAGCTCAGAAATTCCTTGGAATTTCAGTCATAAAGTGAAGCATAAACAGTAAGGTCCAATAGGCAGATTTACAGCAATAAGAAAAAAATCAATTTTTAATTTAGTAAAATGAAAAAGCAAGAAGTGAAAAGATCCACTTTAGGTTGCTTTGTAGGCATATAATTCAATGTGTGAGGAGTAAGGAAGAAACTGTTTCTTTTTGGCTTAGGAACAAACACTTAAATTACTAATACTAGATATTTTAAGTGAGATTATTCACACTCTCAGCAGTGTGAGTTTCCCTGAAGAGTATCTTATGCTTTTTTAAAGGCGCTATGTCCTATTCCAAAATACAGACACTAAGGTTTGACGTGATCATTATCCCCAATAACAGTAGATGAGTCACATAACTAAACTGTGGCTTCTGACAGTTATTAATACATCTGTCTCTCAAAACAGAGTTCATAATGGCACCCATATCTCCCAGGGTTAAAGTGAGGATGCGGTAAGATGAACCCACAGAATGCTTCCTGCAGTACTCAAGAGTGGTACGGGTTCAATAAATAATAGCTGTTATTCAGCTGTTTCTGAAAGGCCCTCAAGTTACTGGATTCAAGCGCAAGGAGCAATCTGCCTATGCTAGATTCACCAGTGCGAAGAGCTATTGTCTGTCAGGGAACAGGGGAGGGAGGATGATGCTGACGAAAGCAGAAATGTAGGCTGTGCCCAAATTGTGAGATCTGTGTAGGACCTGCTTATGGTTTTAAAATGAACAGGCAAAAGTGTATAAAAAGACAAGAAATCTTTTAAAGAATGGAATGCTCTTCAGCTTTCATTCTATTTTATGCATGTATTTATTTATCTTGAAACAGGGTTTTGCTATGTAGCCCAGGCTGACTTAGAACTCTTGATCCTCCTGCCTCAGTCTCCCAAGTTCTGGGATTCTAGGTGTGCCAACACTCTTGGCCAAACTTTCTTTTTAGAAAAACATCTGTTAGGGGAATAAAAGTAAGTAGTGTGGTAGTATGGAGTATGGAACACAGGATGGATTCAACACACACTCCTGGCATGAACATGTCAACTTGCTATGTGCACCTATGAGCAAAGAGGACAGAGAAGTGGCTTCTAAAAGCTGGCCTAGAGGAGAAAATGGTACACGACAAACACGATTGTTATTTTCAGGGCTGGTGGAGTGGCTCAAGTGGTAGAGCACCTGCCTAGCAAGTGTGAGGCCCTGAGTTCAAACCCCAGTGCCACCAATTTGTTATTTTCTCCTAGTGATATAGATCTATGATCAATTTGGGCTAACAGACTCACTTCTAGGGACTGTCCATGCACAAGGGGATGTAAAACTGATTTATCAGGAATGAAATGTAGAATGTCACAGCAACAATGATGTTTTAAATGAGAAAGGGAAAATTTACAGTTAGACGAGACTTCTATACTATTTGAAGAAACTACTAAAACAGATCATGAACACTTTGTTACTAACAGTCACTAAAATAATTGTCCCCAAATTTTAACAATTCCTAATTAAAAAACCAGTTTAGGCTGGGGATGTAGCTCAGTGGTACAGCACTTGTCTAATAGGTGTGAGGCTATGGATTTGATCCCCTGTACCACAAAAAAAGTAATATTAATAATGAATTTTAAAAAAAAGTTTATTATGCTGTAGGATGCATTCCAAATGTTTTTGGAGGGGAGGAAAGTGGTACTAGGGGGATGAACTTGGGGCTTCACACTTGCTATGCAGCTGCTCTACCACTGCAGCCAATCCACCAGCCCTTTGTTTGTTTTGGTTGTCTTTGAGATAGGATCTCACTTTATACCCTGGCCAACCTAGACCGCAATCCTCCTATTTGTGCTTCCCACCTATAAGCTGGGGTGACAGGTGTACACAACTGTACCCAGCCATGGGTTGAAATGGGACCTCATGAACTTTTTGCCAGGGCCGGCCTTGAAATGCAATCCTCCTAATCTCCATCTCCCAAGTAGCTAGGATTATAGGCATAAGCCATTGTGTCCCACCCAAATGCATTTTTATCACAAAAAAAAAAAATTGACTCCCAATTAACCCACTCCTGGTGTGAAATGAAGCTACCTTTGTCTGCCACAATTTTGGACGTCTGCAGAAATAAGCTGCCATGCTGCAGATCCATCATTTCTCCCTTGAGCTTGTCTTCCAGAACGTCCACAAGGGCAAGTTCATCAGCCAGAGACTACAAACACAAAGGCAGGGTTAGTACCCCAAGCCACGAGAGGCTTCCACTCACAATCCAACCCAAAGAGACCATCTAAATGCCTAAAATCCTCCAGAATTTTACCTTGGAGCTGGGTACCCGACCAGAATTTAGTTAACAAGTTACACATATGCTTTAAGAGCATGTAGACAAGGATTCCTTATCAAACCAGCTTGGTTCCACAGTAGGCACAGAAGGGAGTGTAAGTCTTCATGCTGGCGGAGATGGTGGTTTAACAAAACAAAAACAGAGAGATTCATCCTGACCCAGAAACAAGCTTGGGGTCCATCCTGTGGTCACCCCAGGTCAGAGGGGTTTGGCTTAAATTACTGGGGGTGTGAGTTCACTTATAGTAGAACTCAAAGCCCTGGATGAAGCCTGGATGTTCAAGCTGGCTCTGAGCAGCTCAGTTCTCTTGGTGGAGAAATGCTGGGAAGCTTGTGAGCGGCGGTGCCGGCACTGGTAGGATTTCCACACATGATCAACCCAAAGGTTAATCTTGTCTAATCTCAGAATTCTCTTTTCTCTTCTAATTGTCATTCTTTGCTCCCCAGTCCAAAATAAACTCAAAATCAGTAAATATACTACTTAATCATTTTTGTTTTCTTTTTGGTGGTACTGTGGCTTGTACTCAGGGCCTTGCACTTGAGAACTCTACCCCTGATCCAAGCCTCCAGCCATTTTTTGCTTCTTTTTAGTTATTTTCAGATAGCATATTATGTTTTTGCCCACATCGGCTTTGGACCAGGATCTTCCTACCTCTGCCTCCCACATAGCTGGAATTACAGATATGCACCACAGTGCCCAGCTTACACTATTTAATCTTGATTTAGTATAATGACATTTTGTACTCTTAATTTTTACATGAGTAGTGGGAGTAAAAACCAAACAAAATAAAGAATTCTCCCTTTTAGAAATCAAGTGCCACTCTTCAGCAAGTCCTTCATCTTTTCTTCCTGTAAAACCAGGAGGAGTGGGTATCGATACAGACACCCCTGTACAGTTTTTCACCTGCGAAATGCCTTTATCTTGTAGAAGCTCATCATTTACAAACTATTTAAAAATTTACATTCCTCCTATTGACATGCCACAAGAGTCCTTGTTCCTACTGTCTTTAGGGCTCTTAAGCAAAGCAATCCGTTTTAATAAGACATACCAATTCTGGAGTCCACTTAAAAAGGCAAACACTTTCTCTAAGGACAGTAGTGTGATCAGCTACCAGGTGAAGGATGTTGTTGGGAAAAGGTAGGTCACTGGGGTTCATGAAGCACTTCAAAGAGCCAGGTAAAGTAGCTCAGGTGGAAGCGGAAGTGTCAGAACAGCTCAGCCAGCAGAGGGAGAAGCAGAGAGGCAAGACAGTAAGGAGGAAAGCCAACCTACTTAGCTTGCTGGACACCAAGCAGGTGCTGCTTCCTGCAGCACCCACATTCCCCAGGTGCTGGAATAAGAGTGACTGGCCACACTCAGAAAGGGAGTTACAACAGGCTTGCTGTAACCTTCTGAGACCGAAGCCTCCTTGGGACTAATGGGCTCCCAGGCCTAAGCAAGTGAACTGCAGTACTTGTAAATTTTTGAAGTGACTGATCTTTGAGTTGGTGAGTGCTTAGAAAATTCTTTCTCATTTCCACAGTCAATCCTCCATCTCCTGGGGATTCCAAATCATGAATTCAACCAGAAATTTTTAAAACCTACAACTACAGGTACAAGTAGAAACTTCATTTTTTTTTTTGTTATTCCCTGAACAATACAGAACAACAACTATTTACACTGTATTAGATGTTATAAGTAATCTAAAGGAGATTTCACCTAAGAGGCTGAGCAATCTCAGACTTTGATATCCACGGGGGTCCTGGCACCAGTCACCCAAAGATACTGATGGATGGCTGTATTCTAAATACTAGCACTAATTTTTAATCCATTGTTTTACTTAAACACGTTTCAACATTTTTAAAACTGTTTTGTCCTTTTGTAGCTTCTGACAAGATCACACAAAAAAATCCTCATTTGTGTTTTCTTCAGTCCTAAATTAACCCAACACAATTTAATAATAGCCACCACATTCTGTGAGGGACCAAGTACCAGGAATGCCAGTCTTATTTTAGTAACATCACTGTATGCTCCTGAAGTCAACAGGGCAACACAGTTCAGTGCTTAAGTATAAAACAGATATCTCAGGATGTCAGATCCTGTCTCTTTGTTTTAATGGGTGCTGAGATTTGGCTGAGAAGTGAATGCTTAGTTGAAAGAAGGAAGAGTTCGAACATTTAAATATATCTAACCATAGCACTAATTTAGTTGGCCAATGCACAAAGGACAGAGGCACACAAATAGAGGGCATGTGGCCAAGCACTGATGCTATTATTTTACTTAAATAAAACTGCCTCTGTATTCCCAAATTTCATAGCCTATAAATTCACCATGTAAATATTTCATGTAACCCCTAAGCTTATTTAAAATTGAGACAATAAGGTCTAGATAACTGCAAAAGCAGGCATCTTATTAAGGAGTCAGTTCAGTTAGAAGCCAAGGATGTCACTGCTAATATCTGCCTTTTAGTCTCAAGTCTTGTGTGGACCAGACAGCCATCAGTCCTGCCTCATGGTCCTCTTAATCAGTCACTGCCACCAATGTCTTTGCAACTGATGGCTGCATTTTTATACTCAAGTGTTTAGTGCACATGAAAGTGTGTGGGTATATAACCTTCTCAAATAATTAACCAAATGGACAAGTATCTTTTATTCAAGAATTTTTCTTCCCCTCCAAAATGCCAACATTGCTTTATATTGAACACAATTTGGGCTCATTTCAGGCATTTAATCTATTCTCTTAAACCTTGCACAAATAATTTTAACTATGTACTACTTTGAAGTCAAGCTCTGCACTGCTAAAACTACTTTGCAAACATGTCTGGAACACTGTTCCTCTGAAGGGTCTTGCTGTGCTGTGTTTGGGAAGGTGGTTACGTGGCTACAATTGTGGAAGGGTAGACACTCAACCGAACACAGCTGGACCCAGAGACAAAGGGTTTGTGACAGTCTGGTCTAGAAGCTCTGCCTGACCCTGACAACACAACGGGGTTGATATTCAGATCCAATATTCAGGAGCCTGAGGTAAATTATACTTGGCATTAGCAGCCATGAAAAAGTAAAGTTAGACAAATTCAAATGCAATTTATCAGTAATAGCCAGTATATTCAATTTAATACATTTACTAGTGAATATGCCAGACATTATTCTACTATTATCAAGAATAGAGTCAAGAAAAAAGCCCAGGAGCCTTTGTTGTCATGGGATGTGTAAGGAAAGGAGCAGGAATTAAACTAACAAGGTAATTTCCATTGCAAAGTGCTGTGACATCCACCAGGAAGGGTGATGTTATTGATACTTGGCAATCAAGTCCTGCAAAGGTTATGCACCTGGATGACAGAAAGGACTTAACCCTGTAGTTCATGGAAGAATCTTCCAGGTGAAGAGCAAAGCAAGTACTAGGGTTTAAACAGTGATGACCTTGGTGTTTGTGAGAAAGAGGACAAAGGGTGAGAGATGAAGTCAGCAATGGCACTATCGCATCACAGTGGAACTATGCTGTGATGTTGCTTGGAAAGACAAACAGACAGATCTGTGAAGCCCCACAGAATTTAAGTAGGGAAACATCACATTTCTGCAAGTTCCCTAGGGCTATTATGTGAGGTTGGGGAGTGGGAAAAGGATTAGCAGAATATGACAGAGTCTTCCTAGTGGTGGGCACTGAGTAAGGGAGCCCTGGCCACCTTTCTGAGTCTAGTAGGCGTGCGCCTTCTCAACCTTCTAGGCTGCAACTTTGACCACCTTCTGGGGGCCCAAATGGGTCCTGTCTGTGGAATCTTCTTAGTCAAGCTGCCTAGCCCTCGTGCCTTGTGTTAGTTTTGTTTCATTTTGGCCCACAGGTTTCAAGAAGAAATCAAGTAATATACAGACACCTACCTGACTGGCATTGTTTTCCTTTCTCTATGAAACTAGTGGGGTTTCTAATCTTTACTAAATATTAACACAACTTCAAACCACTTTAATCCTTACCCATTTAAAAAAGATTTTTGATATTTTTAGATAGTAAGTAGTTTTGGTCTTTTAATCTTTTTTTGCCTCCATGCTGGGAATCAAACCCAGGATCTTATGCCTGCTAGGCAAGTGTTCTAACACGGAGCTACAAATGGTCTTTCAACAAGGCAGTTATTCTTCCTTACTTTGTATTTATGCTTTCAAAAAATATTTTTCATTAGGCCAGGTGTGGTGGTGTATGGCTGTAATCCCAGCTAAGCAGGAGGTGGGGCTGACCCTGGAGAAAAAGCAAGAAATTATCTAAAAAAATAAACTAAAGCAAAAAGGGCTAGAGGTATGGTTCAAGTAGTTTAGGTCGAGTAAATGCATTTTCGACTTATTTTTCAACTTGTGGGCTTATGAGGATGTAAAGCAAGGAGCATCTGTACAGCTACTACCTCTACCAGCTGTGCCTGATATACATATACATATGTATGTACTTATATATAGAGAGAAATTATATCACCATTTCATGGGAAAACAAGGATATGAACAACTCCCATCTCAAGACTGTTTAAATGTAGCTCAGTGATAGAGTGCTTGCCTAGCACATGTGAGGCCCCAAGCTCGATTCCCAGCATCGTGGGGAAAAAAAAAAACTTAAGCTTTGCAAATAGAAATATGCTTGGCTAGGATTTCATCAGGCAGCTTCCACGTAGAGTACAAAGGCGACAGTGTGCTCTATTGGGCAGGACAGCCTGTTTGCTTTATTCCTGCTTTCTTCCCTATCTCTCTTCCTACATTTAGAGCAGCCATTAAAACAAACAAGGAAATCAATTCAGCAAGGTAAATAAGAAAAGGCCTTCATTCTTCAACATCCTTGGAACTAAGGCAAACTGTCACTTGAACTACAAGAGTAAATGTGCCACCAGCCAAAAGTCTACAGAGGAATACAGGGAAAGTAAGGGATTTTTAACTGGGAGGGGGAGATAGATTTAGATTGCGTTTACCTTTATTAGCTATGTTATTTGTACAAAGGGGTTTCATTGTGCTATTTCCACAGCTGGGGAAAGCACAGTCTTGAGAAGTGAGAGGTGATAAAGGCATGGTGGCAGCCTTAAAACTGGTGTTGAGAACTGCCTTGGTTATGTAAGAATGCATCCTGTTCTTGGAAAATGGACACTGGAGGGTTGAGATGTGAGGGCATGATGTCTGCAGTGCAGCCCAGAAGAGGGGAGGAGGAGAGAAAGGAAAAAGAGAAGAGGAGAGAGGAGAGGGAAAGAAAGGAAGAATAACAAAATGTGAGGATCAGTAAATCTGGGTGATGTATATCTGGAAGATTTATCTTTTTTTTTTTTAACTATTCTTGCAAAATTGTATAAGTTTAAAATGATTTCAAAATAAACATCCTGTTTAAAAGTTTGGGGGGATGTTACCACTCCTCACAAGGCTACTACACAGTTTACTTCTTGAGAACAGAAAGGACAGAGGGCCCTTTGTAGGGAAGTCTTGCCATCACCCTTTATTTAACCAGAGGATTCAACCCAGCACCTCCAGTAAGCACACAAGCTCATGCCACACGCCTCACAATGTGATGCCCTGAGAGGGGCATGACATCACCCAGCACATTTAACCTAAACCTAATCCCAAGGAAACATTAATTATAAATTGAGGCACCTTCTATAAATGTCAATGTCATGAAGGACAAAGAAAGTCTGCAAGAGTTCCAGATTACAGAAGAATAAAGTCATGATTAGTGTATGAAATATATGATAACTTTGGATGGAGCTGAAAATGGCTCTAAAGGGTATGATTCTGACAGCATGGAGAATGTAAAATACACTGTATACATACCAGTACATCAGCAATGCTGAGTGACTTTAGTAGTTAAGTCTAGTGTGGTCACAGGGAAAACAGGGTTCTCTTAGGAGATACACACTCAAGCATGTAAAGGTGAAGTGTCAGGAAGTGCACAACTTCAAATTGCTCAGGAACAGAAAAAAAGTCTTTTAAAAACTGCAGAATCCTAAAGTACATTAAGAGATTGCATACTCTTGCTGAAATGATTTGCCACCAATGGTGTTCTTGAAACATACCTTCCCCAAAATGCTGATAGCACACGCCATACCAACTTGCCCAACACCCACGACGGTGATCTTATTGTTGGGGACGCCTGTCTCCTCTTCTGCTACAGGTACAATGAGTTTTTCCTTCAGGGATGCCATTTTGCCCTGCAAGGGAAGAACCAAGACAGGATACCCAGTGTTCACGTGGGAAATTTGAATGGAAATCACCCTGAAGATACTACTGTTGCAACTTTGAAAGAAAATAAGACTTAAAAAGACGCTGATATTCTAGAGCACAAAATATATTTTAAGGAAAGATGTGACCCATTTAACAGAGGGTATAATTGAGGCAAAAACCTACATGAAGCCTCAGAATTAAGATTCTTCCCAGCATCCCAGGATTCTATGGGAGTGTTTATCAAGTTGCGACCAGTGGATTTGCAACGGTTTTGTTGGTCTTTAAATCCAATTACTACCTAAAAAACTTATTTTTTTTGCTCCTATAACAAATTTATATGTAACAATATAAATTAGTTAACTCATATTTAAGTTTGTTAAAAAAAAATACTGGCCAGTTATTAATATAATGCCTACTACTAATGCTCACTATCACTCTCGGAAGATAAAGACTGGTTTAAGACTTTAAATCTCACATAAACTATGTCACAGTGTACTGGACATACAGCATATGCTTAATAAATACATGACAATAAAAGGGCTATGAGTGGTGTTTGTGCAGAATATGCAAAAATATTACTCTGAGTTTCTTTTAGTGTACCTTGGAAATTACTCGGAAGGTGGGCAGATATTTAATACGTTTTCCTTTTGGGGGTACAGGGGTGTCACATTAAAAGAATCAGCGTTTGAATCAGTTTCTTTCCAACCATCCAAAATAAAGCAAAAAAAAAAAAAAAGTAAGTTTGAAAATAAAACTCAAACCTGGTGTGAAACATTTTACACAGTAACACCAAATTTATCTCTGCCGTCGGATAAATTTTCTGGGTAACTAAAGCAAATGGCAAAACTTACTGAAATGAACTTATTGATCGCACAGCAATTTAGTACAGAAAATATACTGCTCTGCCTTTTTTTTTATTATCCTACTATTGTTGTTCTTGGGGTACATTGTGACAGTGAAAAAAGTACTTACAATGTATCTTAATTAGATTCACCCCTCCATCATTCTCCTTTGTGCCCCCTTCCCCCTTCTTAGAATACTTTCAACAGGTCTTTTTTCCATTTTCATACATGACTATATAATATTCCACCATATTCACCCTCCTACACCCTTTCCTTATGTCCTCCCCCTCCCACTGGTACCAGCCCACAGACAGGAACTGTTTTACCTTCCTGTCCTCCATTTCTGAGAAAAGACATTTTTGTTTAAGATAGCTATACTGGGTGTTTCACTATGACATTTCCACATACATTTGTATTATGTCCAGAATTGATTCATCCCCTTTATTTTTCTCTTTTGTACCTTAGTCTTCTTATGTGATTTCAACACATTTAAAAATTCTATAGTCATTCTTGTGTAGAAAGTACATCCCAAGGGTAGAGACCATGAACTTACTTTTATTCACAACTATCACTTACTAACTAGAGTAACTCATTTTATGGCTATTATTTTAGTTTTTCACTTTTTATGCTAGAATCTGTCACATGTGAGGCTACTCTGTTTCAAACTAACCCACTCTTCCTGGTCTTGTTTCTCATTTGCAATGGATTAAGAAAACAAACCTCATTCAATAATTGTATATGGGAAGTAACAGGCCCACCGCTGGAATAAAGTATCTGAATTGAGAGACAAGTAGGTAACAACCAACTACTTTGTTTTACAGATTTTTTTTTTTCTAAAAAAGTGTTTTCTTCAGCCTGTTGATTACTGAGAGATTATTTTGCTTTTACAGTTTTCTAGTGCATGCTAGGGAGAAAAGACAAAATCCCTCTCGAGGGTTCCAGATGGATGTCCTTAAAATGAAATTCAAACATGTCCTCCATTTGAGCAGAATCACACGAATGTCCCATCTCTTCTGGTTACAAAAGCCTAGCTCTCCCCACTCAGGTTTACTTTTGTTAGTTGCCTTGTGATACTTTAGATATACACGGGCCCCAGCAAACAGTGGAAAACTAACATCCAGGAACGTTGATACAGAGGGGGTGTTCTGACGGTCTCTCTGGGTAGCTGCAGAAACTGAAATTGAGAAAATCGGCTTGTAGAGACTCTGCAGAAGAGTGCTTGCCTTTAATTATAAGAAATGAGAAGAAAATGGTTTGCCCAGGCCTGTACAAAGAAGAATAACAAACAGGAGGAAAAGCGCCTAGGGCTTTCAGTCCTTCATGTCAATCATCCTTGTAGCAATAAGCCACTGGAAATGAAGCCAGCCATGCTTTAAGTTCAGAACAAAGACCCTCTTTGAAAAATCTCTCTCTTTCTAAACTTTAAAACCCCCAGGTTTTGCCATCTGATTCTCCCACGAAATGAGAGCCAGGCTCCCCTTCCCCCACCCAGCAAGTCCCTCTTGCAGCTTCTCTGCTGGCTGCCTGCGAGCCTCCTCCTCCTCTTCCTCCCGCAGGCCCGCCCTGCGGCTGCTCAGAGGGTCACGAGGCGAAGCAGCGCCACAGATCTCCCAAGATCAGATCTCCCGGGCAAGTGTGGGCCTTTCCACTCGAGCACCCGAGGCAGGCGCAGCAAACAAAGCACCTGACATCAGAAGCCAGGACCGAACTTGGAGTTCAAGACCAAACTTGCAAAACTGCTAACGCCTTCCCCCTTGTTCCAGCAAAGGCAGGGAGGTTTCTCCAATACCCTGGGGATCCAAGTTCAAGGCCGTCCAGCCCTTGAAGGCCACCTGGTTCCTGCCCCCTCCCCTAGCTCCTCGGGCTGATGTCCCAGCTCCCCAGGAAGTCCCGGGGTGATGTGCCCGCCCGGCACCCATCAAGGTCACGGTAGGACCGGGTTTTATCTGTAAATGCACCAAATCACCGTCCTGGAGAGCACAGGCCGGGGACAAGCCCGTAGAGATGCCTAAAAAGCGTCCTGCTCCCTTGGCTCGGGCGCGGCCCGCGGCTCCCGGCCTCAAACCCGGAGGCCCACGTCGGGATGCTCATGACTACAGGCCCCAAAGGACAGATGTGTATTCTGCCCTTCCTTCTGCCTGACTACACGTCCCACCCGGCCTGTCTGTGACCAAGGATTCAGGGTCCTGGGCTGTGACCTACCAGGGGAGAGAAGGCTCCGAGGACCAGGGACCAGCGTGCAGACAGGACAAAGTCAGCTGCGCGTCTCCTCCCGCGCAGGAGCTGCAGGAGAGAGCAGGAGGCGGGGCCCCACCCCACCCCCGCAGCCTCTTAGGTTTCTCTATTGTGATTGGAAACCCGAGCACATCCACCCCTCCCCTCGGCTCGCTCAATCCACTTCAAGGTCAAGGGCTCAGGAATGCGTGTGCGCTCGCTCTTCTCCATCCCAGCAGGTCACCTTCTGGCAGCTGGGGCGGCCTCTCTCCCTGGCAGTCTCACAGGTCTCAGGCGCTACTCTGCAGTGGCCGAGTTAGCTCTAAAAGCTGCCTCTTTCTGACTCTTCCAGACTCTCACCATCTTGTCTGGATTAGATTTGGTGCAAACAGAAATCTTTTTAAAGTTGCATTCCATTCAACTTTTGGAGGACATCCAGCTGGGATGTGGCTGATGTGTCCCCTGGAGTGGTCCTGATGCTTCTGAACGTTTTAAAAAATACACTGACTTTTGGTCATCGCCATTTTTCAGTTCATTGGATGAAGCAAGGACAATTTTTTGTTGTTGTTCTATAACTTAATTCAACTAATACACACTGATTGCTCCCTAGCTGCAGACAAGGTCAGGGAACCTGGCTCCTCTTCTCAGGGTTCCTCTACAAATTTGCATGTTCTCAAGGGCAAACCTTGGCTTGGGGGTTGGGGACAATGGAACCACTCGGTGAGATGCAGTTTCTCTGTTAGTCCCTGCATTCCTGTAAACTGGATGTTGACTTCTGTGTATCTTCAGCACCCAGCCCCGATGCCTGAGCATTGAGCAATGAATGATTGAGCAATTAGAGGTATTCTGGAAATTCAGTTTTCGTATAAATCGCTTCCAAATAGAGCAATCTCACAAACTCCCTATATGCAAAACTAAGTTGATTTTGTTTTTTGTTTTTCTGTAAATGTATAGCTTTTGAAAATGACTGTTGATTCTATAAATAGAATTCTTTGGGCCAAGCACTGAAGATATAAATACAACATTACCCTGGGTGAGAGGCTTCCAGTCCAAATGGGCAAACTATTTCAATTACAATACAAGGTGATAAGTGATATTGAGATTTTGTTAAAGTACAATAAAAATTTAGAGGCAGGAATCACCAAAAAAGATCATAGTATTTCTGGGATTTCAGCTTCCAGTTTGTGGGGACTTCGAGTGACTCCAAAGATGCAGTCCAGTTACAAGTTAAAAGATAATGATAAGGGAGAGAAAGAATTTAGAGGATAATCTCAAAAGTCTTAAATTCACCCCAAGTCCAAGAAACCTGGAGGCTGCCCCACATCTCCATCTCATCTCCTTTCCAAAACAGTCAGTCAACAGGTTCCTTAGACTTTACTTCTAAATATTCCAGAATTATTCTCCTGCTGTCATTCCCAATTATAGAGGTAGTCTTTGAGGGTAGGGATGAAGGTGGGGAATGAGAAGAGGTCTCTATTCCTACCCACAAACTGTTTTAATCTGATAGAGCAAAGCAAATTCTCCAGTACCAGCCTCTAAACACAGGGAAAAAGAAACTACTACTCTCAAACCTGTTTGTGAATGTGTACTCTGGTGAGTTATCTTTTCTTTTTTATATGTGAGGGATAAAAGTTGGTGTTATATATACAATGATCTAGATGATATACTCCCTACACCATTCCTTTCACTGTTAAATCAGTGGAAAGCTATCTCATACTTAGTAAATTGGGAATTAAGAACCACCATATGATCTTGCTGTACCACTCCTGGGTATCGACCTGAAGGAATGTTAAGTCAGCACACAGAAGAGACCCTGCTCAGTCATGTGTTTGTGGTGCTATTCACAGTACCCATGCCTGCAGAACATTCTGAACAGTACTTAAGATGTGCTGAGGCACAGCTTCCAATAGAGGGTGAAAGATTTAATTCTGTACCCCATGGCTGGAAACTCCCATGTTTGTTGTTGTCGTTGTTTTGCTTTTTTATCTCATGCCCTAAAAAGTTATCTCACATTGTCAAAGTATCAACAGTTTAAACCCATGGTCATTTAATTGTAGAATGGAATAGGAGCTTTGGATATAATCTAATCCAAATGAATACCTCGAGTTTAAGTGACTGGCCTCCATTTCCATGGTGAGTTAAGAATAAAAGTGGGAGGAAGCTTAAAAAGTTAATCTCATAGGAACAAAGTATTGATCACCAGAACCTGGGAAGGGTGCAGGGGAGGGAAAGATGAAGACAAAATGGTTGATGGACACAGGGGTGTTCATTCTTTCCAATTTTCTTTATTTCCCAATTCTCAGTTATATTTCAAAGAATTGAATTTCCTTGAAGCTGAGTTTCAGGTAGGTTTCATGTTACTATAATGACAATATGTGCTTGTAAATGGAGGAAAAAATAGCGTTGGTGGGTATGTCAACTACAAAAAAAAAGTAATCTGGAAAAAATCAACACTAGAGGAGAAAGAAGAGAATTTGAAAACTTAATGTGTCAAAAGAAAAGTAAAGTAACATTATTAATGGTGCTGGTGGAGTCTGTGATCAGAAGACTTCCAAATTCTTTCTCACCAGTGACAATTCATGGCAGGACTCATGAGTATAAATGGAGTTTACTAAAAGTTAGGGAAGGGAATTACAAAGCGGAGCAGGGCGGGGATCTGGAGGCAGAGAACACATGCCTCTCTTTTTCAGGAGCTTTTAAAATTTACCCTAATCTGTGAAAAAGGGGGGACCAGGTGATTCCCATTCAATAATCAATGAGTAGGGAGGGGCATGGGTGGTTCCCTGCCAGGTGAGGGTGGTCCCTGAGCCACAGCGTGGTTAATCTGAGTCGTGATATTTTTTATGAGTCCGAACTTTCCCTAATTTTAGCCTGCCTCAACATGAAGTACCCTTTCTGCAAACTTATTAGCTATTCTTTTAGAAGGGAGGTAGCTACCCTCTGAATTATACAAGTAGTCTTGAATTAATTCATGGTGGTGTCCAGTTGAATATACACTAGCTGTGGTAAGTGATCTCAGTACCCTAGTGAGCCTGACTAACCGAAGTTGAGAATTGTGTTGTGGTAACAAATTCCTGTTGTTAACAGCAGCGGTATAGTCTCTGGTCAGAAGATTTCCAAATTCTTTGTGTCCACATGGAAGAATCCATGGCAGGAAATGTGGGTGTAAATGGAATTTATTGAAGTTAGGGAAGGGAACTGCAAAAGGAGGCATGGTGGGACCAGATGGAAGCTGGAAGTAGAGGGAGCATCTTTCTCTTTTCCAGGTGCTTTGAAAACTTACATAGGAAAGGAAGAACTGGTGATTCCCACCCAATAGTCAATGAGTGGGGAGTGACATGGACAGTTCCTGGGCCAGGTGAGAGTGGTTTTAGTTGTCCCTGAGCTAGGGTGTAGATAACCTATACACATTTGCAATTGCAAAGAAGGCTCAGGAAAAAGACAGAAATGTTCAATCTGAAATGCAATATTAAGTCTTATATGTTCTAAGATCAGAACTTTCCCTCATTCTAGTCTGCCTTGCTGTTGTAAACCAACCTTTGTGAGTGAATTTTTGTTTCTTTTGTCTTTATAGACTGTTTTCTCTGAGTGTCTAAAAAACATTATTGGGTAAATCTTTGATAAAGCATGTCCTATTCATGGCGGGGGGGAACCTTTTTTGTCTCCTTCTGGAAAAGATAATGAATGTTTTATTCATTAATTTATTTGCAGTACTAGGGATCAAACTCAGGGCTTTTCACATGCTAAGTAATTGCTGTACCACTGAGCTCTATGACCAGCCCTTGATGAATCTTTAGAAGATATCTCAAATGAGCCTTAACTTGGTCACAGTTCACTCCTCCTATAGTGACAATGACAAGAAAATTTGTATGTAGTGTGGGTTAGACACCAGATTGGAGTTCATAATTTTTGCTTGAACGTGAACTTCCAGGTGGGTCAGTCCAGCAGAATCGATCAGAAAGCAGAACTTTCCCTAGGTGTTGGTCTCTCCACATGGTGTCCTGGGTGCAGCTCCTAGGAACAGGGGTGCCAGTGCCACATCCTCACTGAGCACTGCAAAGGTCTTCACCTCATCTGCACCCCACATTCCTAGAACCATGAGTCAAACAGTATGGACAGTTTTCAAGAGAGCGTGCCCTTTTACTCTCCTCAGCCCATCTGTCTTACTGTACACTCATCATATTGAATATTAAGGTTTTATTTTTGCCAATTTATCAGAAAAATGTATTTTGCTCTCAAGTTGAATAAATATGATCATTAGTAAAGACATATACCTTTGCATTATGTACCTTTACATTTACATTTTTTTGTGTGTGGCTTTTGTTTTGAACTTTCTATTATCTGATCACCTGTAACAGCTGGCATTTATCTTGTTTTGTTTTTGCTACTTAGCAAATACTCTGCAAACAGCCCTGAGGCTTTTTCTTCTTCCCTCATCCATCTCTTTCTCCCTTAAAATATACTGTGGCTTTGTTGCGGGAGTTTGCTAGCTGAGATAGGGGACTCTTGAAGCAATTAGCAGGAAGCAACGTTTTATTATACCAGCACAGACCCAGGTGACTCATGTCCAAAGGCTGAGCCCCGAGAACAAAGGGGTCTCACCTTATACACTCTTGCAAGCAGGTTACAGAAGCAAAAAGCAAGGTCTAATCCATATATGGTTATATTTAATTTTATTGGCTACTTTACCCAGTGCTACCTGACTTTCCCCTCCCTGGTGCTACGTGACCTTCCTCATGTTCAGATTTCTCAGGTTTTATCTCTCTGTTATGCCATCCCTACCTCCCTGCTACTTTCTCAGGACTCAGACCTAGACTGTTTTCTTTTGATCCTTCTCTCTGCTACAGCTTCTTCTGGGGAAAATGTGTCTGGAACTGGAGCTAATCAAAGCAATGAGAACTGAGAACTCCCAAGATAAGACCAGGGGCTGGTCTTTGGGCCCTGTACCAAGACTGACCTGAGCCAGCCTCATCCCCAAGCTTCCTAAGCAAACCACTAACCCCAGAGAAGATCCTCACCGATGTATTCCTTTGCCCATTTTTAAGTTACAGTGTCACTGTTATTCCAACACCAAAATACCTAAGTATG